ACCATGGCACTTGGCTTTAGTCTTAAAGATCTGTTTACTTTGGTTAATCAGTAACAATAATATTGCAGCTTTCATTCACCTATCTGACATGTGGGTTTGTATCTGTATAAAAATCACACTGCGGCAGCAGGTAGCGAATATAGTGTTAGGGTTGTGGGTCACAAAAACAGAGGCATTTGTGTTACAGTATAATGCCCTTAGGGAGCTCGAGCACGAGTGCCCGGGAACATCCGGAGTTCAGTTTGTTGCTTAGGGGGGTGGGGGGGAGGGCGGGGGGAGTATGCAGGAGGCAGCCAATTAATGATTCTCATCATTGAAGTTTCTGTCTCCCTTCCTCTCTGAAGTCAATAGAAGTATTTTTTTAAAATGGGCAAGGATTGAAAATATTTGTGAAATGGTGGCTTAAAAAAGTCCCTGAGAAATTCTGGATCATGGTGGGCAGGGTGGGGACAGCCTGGAACGAATGCTTTGTTGAATCTTTTCCCCAGAGCATTGGCCCATGCAGGGAACGTGGCTGACAGGGAGAATTTCCCCTGGCCTTTAAGGCACACAGTAAATCCATAAGCCTCTTCTTCCATCACCAATGGGGTTCTGCCCTACTCCCCTCTCCTGGTAGCTTCATGTGCTCCCTTTCCACTGGCATCCCCTTAACATGATTTCACCACATTAACCAAGAGGACTGGGCAATGGCTGCTTATACCTGTGGGAAGAGCTCCTGGCCAGACTGGGGGCATCTCGAGGGCAAGAACCATGTCAAAGTCACCTCTGAATCTTCAATTAACTTGTATGAGCCACAGCCTGCATCCCCAGCCCCCAGACACAGCACCTTTGGCCATGAACTCCGTGATGATATAAATGGGCTCCTCTGTGACCACTGCATGCAGCTTCACCAGCTTGTCATGCTGCAGAGTTTTCATCAGGTTGGCCTCTGCCAGGAAGGCCTCCACAGACATGCTCCCTGGCTTCATGGTCTTCACGGCCACCTTGGTGTGCTTGTTGTAGGTGGCTGGAGTGGGTGAGAAAGCAGGAAAGATGGTCAGAACCCATGCTCTTTCCCCACAGCCCAGGAAGGCCCAGCTGCAGAACTGCCTCCTCCACAAAGTCTTCTGTGCCCATCTCAGCCCTTAGAGAGGGAGGGGCTTTGGCTCAGACAGACGTGGGTTGGAAAGCTGGCCCACGCCTTCCTGGCTGTGTGCCCTTGGGCAAGTCACTTATCCTCACGCATCTGTGGTTTCCTCATCTGCGAAGTAGAAATGATAAGCACTGCCTTTGAAGGGCTGTTGTAGGGATTAAAGGATAACCTCAAAACATCACGCAGATCAGTGGTTCTCAACCTTCCTAATGCCGCGACCCTTTAATACAGTTCCTCATGTTGTGGTGACTCCCAATTTCATTGTTACAAATTGAACATAATTAAAGCATAGTGATTAATCACAAAAACAATATGTAATTATATATGTGTTTTCTGATGGTCTTAGGCGACCCCTGTGAAAGGGTCGTTTGACCCCCAAAGGGGTCGCAACCCACAGGTTGAGAACCGCTGACTCAGATCATGTCACTCATACACACAGACCACCTTTGCCTTGTCTCTCATCCTCACACATACCATCTCTTCTTAAAATGCTTTAATCTTAACACTGCTCTCAAAATAAATACCAGTTTCACCATGGTCTACAAGGCCTGCATGATCTGGCCTTGCCCACCTTGCCAGCTTCATCATCCACCAAACTCCCCTTGACTTTCGTGTACAGTCAGCCTGCATGTCACTCAGCACCTCAGGTACCCAACCACCCCTCCCACCTCAGGAACTTCCCACATGATGTTCCCTCACCCCATTTCTACTCCACCTTATAAATCTCTTAATTGCTTGTGTTTCCATTTTTGCCTTGGCTGCCAGGAAGCTTTAATCCAAGTCTGAGGTCTTCCTTTAGTAAGAGTAAACCCTTATATAATACTAGAGGCCCGGTGCACGAATTCATGCACGGGTGGGGTCCCTCAGCCTGGCCAGCAATAGAGGCCTATGGGGGGCCGGCTGGCAGGGGGAGGTGCCCTGGGAGGTTGGCCAGCCAGCCCCCTGTTTGGGGTCTATGGGGGGCGGGGGGGGGAGCTGGGAGGAAGGGCCGTGGGAGATTGGCTGTGGGATCGCACTGACCATCAGGGGGCAGCTCCTGCATCGAGCGTCTGCCCCCTGGTGGTCAGTACGCATTATAGCGACTGATCAACCAATCATTCCGGTCATTTGGTTGTAATGGTCACTTAAGCTTTATATATATAGATAGTTTTGTTTTCTAACTCATTACTCAGATCTGTCTTCCCTTCTCCAAACTTTCTCTGCCACAACCTCTTATTAGGTGCCTGGCATATAGCAGGCTCTCAATAAATATAGTTGAAATATGTGTATTTAAACATTTTTTTTTTGGACTAAATTGTTTGCGACTCTGTAAGTTGTCTTCAGTCTCATTTAAAACATGGTGGGTGGAGCCCTGGCCGGTTTGGCTCAGTGGATAAAGCGTCGGCCTGAGGACTGAAGGGTCCCGGGTTCGATTCCGGTCAAGGGCATGTACCTTGGTTGCGGGCACATCCCCAGTAGGGGGTGTGCAGGAGGCAGCTGAATCGATGTTTCTCTCTCATAGATGTTTCTGGCTCTCTATCCCTCTCCCTTCCTCTCTGCGAAAAATCAATAAAATATATTAAAAAAATAAAAGAAAATAAAACATGGTGGGTGGAAACACAATCGGGTGCACCAGGTACTGGGCCAGGCATGACTGTCCTCGAGTTATTAGCGGCCGGGCAGCAGGGGTGGGACATGCCTTATTGGTGCCCCACAATGCCTTGGCATGGCGCTAGGCACACAGTTACCGACACTGAACTCACCTGGAAATCTCCAAGCTGCATTTCCCCATTCTTAATTTCCATCATCCTAAGAGGCCTTGGTAATCTCACCCCAACTGGTAGGCCTCTTGGCTCTGTGTCAGGGAGCAGATTCCTCATCTAGGACTCCTGCTTCCCAGGAGGAAGTTTTTAACTCCAACAGGTCAATGGCCTCAGAGGTAAATCGGTGTTTGCATGGCAGGACAATTTGGTTTGCTACCAGAGGGATTGCTCCTTTACGGTTATTATTCAGATCTCCCCTTCGACCGTTGGTGGCATTCCCACTCTGTCTCCGGCTGTTCCTGGAAGTGATGACCTCCCTGCTCCCTCCCTCCCACCACCCTCTGGCCCAGGGTCCTTACCCATCCAGACTTCCCCAAACTGCCCGGCTCCAAGCTTTTTCTCCAGCTCGAGGGATTCCCGAGGGATCTCCCAGGCGTCTTTCTCCCACGGCTTCTGGGGCTTGGAGGACACGCAGGGCACCGTCAGCTTCTGGCAGAGCCCATCACTCCCTTCTGGAACAGAGTTGCTGGTCAGCCCAGGGCAGCCAGCTCTCGGCCAGCCAGAGGCTTCCCCTCAGAGGCTTCCCTGCCTGGTCGGCTGCAATTGGCCACTGTGCCAGGGGGGTGTCATGATCAGGGACATTTCCAGAGAGCACAGCATGATCAGATGTCAGCTCTGCCCTCCTTCTCAATAGGCCTAAAATGTCAGGAGAATCCAAAGCAACTGTTTGTCTGGGGAGAGTCAGAAAGAGCTCAGCAGGCCTCAGAGGGCACAGGGCACCGTGACTCGGGTTCCCGGGAGACAGGTCCACGCTGACTAGGGTGTGGCCCTGGGCAGGACTTACTCATGTAGTGGGCCACCAGCTCCTGCAGGGTGCTGAAGGTGTTTCGTGGGGAGATGTAGAAGCCCCCGTTGTCCAGGGTCCGGATCTTATAATGTTTCACTGCATCCCTATGCTGGGGGTCGTAGTCTCGTACCGACAAAGAGTAGCTCCCTGCATTGGTCAGAGAGAAACCGCTCAGGAGTGGGACTTCAGAGTCCGGCCACTACCGTGGCACCCCTTCCGGACACCCCTCTAAAGCCACCCCTGGCACCATCCTGGCAGCTGGGCAGTGGAGCACAAGGGTAAGAGTGAGCTGTGGAATCAGTCTGCCAGGTTCTTGTCCAGGCTCCTCCATGTCCAGCTGTGAGACCTTGGACAAGTGAGTACATCACTTCTCTGTGCCTCAGTTTCCTCATCTGTAAAATGGGATTGGTCGTGAGACCTCTCTATCTCATCACATTGCCTGATAATTGAAAGAAGTAATGCTTGTAAAGTAGTCAGGATGTAAACACTCATTAAACGCTATCTGTCGCCATCATCATCATTATTATTAGATAGATAGATAGATAGATAGATAGATAGATAGATAGAGTGGGGATTGCTGGGTCACCTTTGGTGGTCTCGCTGTCGCGGATCATGAAGGAGCCCAGCACGTTGCCAGGGGCCAGAAGTTGGCGCTCTGCATCCTTCCGGCTGATGCCCTTGAAGAACCACCTGGTGGGAAGGGGAAGAGACAGCGTGTGAACCTGGGTGGGCAGTCCTGTCCCACTGACAAGGGCCACCAGGATACCCAACGCCTGGTTTCCTGCAGCACTGATCTTCCTCAAAGACTCTTTTGGGAAAAACAATGACTCTTTTGATATTAAAACAGACATTTGACCCGGGTTGGATCCAGTTTGCTGAGACTGACTGAAGCTTATGCACATTGGGGAGCTTTCTTTAAGAAAAATAACACAGCCTTGCAAATACAGAATGCCCAGAGGTCATTCCAACAGCACCCAGTGAGAGCGGTAAGCTGATGGACAGAGAGGCTGAGTGTGAAAATACAGCAGGCTTAACCAACTGTGGTCAAAATCCTACTTCTGCAAATTTCACAAGAACAGACGACATTCCTGTCAGGGCCTCGAAGGCCCTTGTGAGTGAGGGTCTGAGCTTCATCAGTTTCATGGTTTATCCTTCTCTGTGTAATACAAAGTCAAATATAAAACTGGCATACATTTCTAAGCAAAAATGTGAGATTTCAAATAATTTTATACTTGGGCCCATAACCTTGGATCTTTACTTCATTCTCCCATAATATTTGGGATACTGGGTGGGAACGTTCAAGCAGCAGCAGCCAAATCCATTTCCACCCTCAGCAGGGTGAGCGGTGGTTCCTGTGCTGTGATGGAAAAAGCCCCAGACCATTACACAGCTGGGAAGTGGTGGAGCCACGCTTCAAATCCAGGCAGCCTAACTCTAGAGCCCGTGCTCTTAATCACCGTGCTACTCTGCACTCCTTCCCCCAACCTTCTTTGATTTCATTTTTGAAAATGATTCATGCCGTGCTAAAAGAGTCAAGCAATGTTACAGGGTATTCAGTAAGAACTATCTCCCTGGCCGAAACCGGTTTGGCTCAGTGGATAGAGCGTCGGCCTGCGGACTGAAAGGTCCCAGGTTCGATTCCGGTCAAGGGCATGTACCTGGGTTGCGGGCACATCCCCAGTAGGAGGTGTGCAGGAGGCAGCTGATCGATGTTTCTCTCTCATTGATGTTTCTAACTCTCTATCTCTCTCCCTTCCTCTCTGTAAAAATTCAATAAAATATATTTTTAAAAAAAAAGAACTATCTCCCTGGCAATTCTACCCCTAGGAAGTTACCGCGCAAATCTTTTTTTCTTCTTTTTTTCTTTTTTTAAATTAAATCTTTATTGTTCAGATTACATTTGTTCCTCTTCCCCCCCCCCATAACTCCCCTCCTTCCAGTTCCCACCCCACCCTCCGCCCTCACTCCCCACCCACTGTCCTCATCCATAGGTGCACGATTTTTGTCCAGTCTCTTCCCGAATCTCCCATTCCCCTTTCCCCCACAAGAATACGCGCAAATCTTGCACAAGGAAGAAATGCTAGTGAGAAGGGTTGAAAAGGGAGTAAGAGAGAAAGTCACAAAGGGGACCTGCTTTAGACAGGTGGTTAGGGAAGGCCTCTCCGAGACCCGAAGGATGAGAAGGAGCCAGCCAGGCAAAGAAGCCGAGGAAGAGTATGCCGGGCAGGGGAGGTAGGGAGTGCAAAGGCCCTGAGGCAGGGACAGGCTGGCCTTGCTCATGCTTCCTGCTGGAGGGCAGGAAGATAGCATACTTACTCCTCTGTCTCCAGAGAGTCAACGCGGGCCACGTAGTTGCTTGGGATGTAGCCCTCTTTCCGGGTGGCCAGAGACCGAGCCTTCCACCATTCCCCCGACCTAAGAGACAGGAGGGAGCAAACGGTTCGGTGGGCAGGACTTCCCTTAGTCCCCTTAGCTTTGGCCTAGACCAGGGGCGGGCAAACTTTTTGACTCGAGGGCCACAATGGGTTCTTAAACTGGACCGGAGGGCCGGAACAAAAGCATGGATGGAGTGTTTGTGTGAACTAATATAAATTCAAAGTAAACATGATTACATAAAAGGATACGGTCTTTTTTTTTTTTAGTTTTATTCATTTCAAACGGGCCGGATCCGGCCCGCGGGCCGTAGTTTGCCCACGGCTGGCCTAGAGTATCCCCTGCATACACCCCATGATTAGGGGTAGGGCTCTTTCCAACAGTCCCCACTGTGCATCTGAGGTTTGTCCCTGCATTCACAGCCTACAGACCTACATCTGTGGCTCCACTATTTTTCTCTGGTCTTGCAGCCTTGGCCTTCCTAGCCATACCTAAGGTGGGGCTCTGTGCCCATGGCAGACTCTAGGGGGGCAGCTGGGGCCAAGAACCAGAGGGAGTGGGCTCAGGAGTCTGACCAAGCATAACCACTGCCACTTCTGGCCCCCCACACATACTGGACACTACACTCGCTGATGGTGAAGACTGGAGGAGATTAAAGGGATCAAACTCAGAGATCCAAAGATTTCTAAATGCAAAGTCACCTCAACGGGGTCTGGTCCACAGGTAAGCTTGCAGCTTGATCGCAGGAGCCCGAGGAAGGCTTCCCTGGGGAAGCTCTTTGAGCCGTTCATCCTTGCCTGGGTGTGCGCCATTAGTAGGCACACAAGCCCCTTTACTGTGGCTTTCACCCAGGTGAACAGCCAACCCTTCCTCCTCTATTACGATCAGGTTCTCATCAGTCGCATACACCCTAGTCCAGCGATGGCGAACCTATGACACGCGTGTCAGAGGTGACACGCAAACTCATTTTTTTGGTTGATTTTTCTTTGTTAAATGGCATTTAAATATATAAAATAAATATCAAAAATATAAGTCTTTGTTTTACTATGGTTGCAAAGATCAAAAAATTTCTATATGTGACACGGCACCAGAGTTAAGTTAGGGTTTTTCCAAATGCTGACACGCCGAGCTCAAGAGGTTCGCCATCACTGCCCTCGTCTAAGGCTCTTCACTGAAGGACAGAAGAGAGTGTACTGCGTATTGGGGGTAGGAATGTCTTGGGGGAGGGGATGAGGACTCACTCCTCCAGGACCGCCATCTGGTCTCCCTTCTGGAAGCTGAGGTCTTCATGGTGAATGGCCTCGTAGTCATACAGGGCAATCACGATGTTATCCTTAGAACCTGCTGGGACGAGAGACACGCGGGGCAGGGAGGCTTTATCTGAGGACCCCCACAGCCCTGGGGGTTTCCCACCCCAACACCTGGCACCCAGGCCTGGGCCCATTGCTGTGTCTGTCTTTATAAGTAAGCATCTTGCCATGCTGGGAGTGATTCTACAGTTTAAAGCTAACCGCGTTTTGCTCATGTTATGAAACAGTGCTATAGAAACAGGATAGCCTGTACGAAGTGCTTGGGTGGCAATTTAGGGGATTTTCAAGGGTGGTTTTGACGAATTTTTGCCTCAAGCTCTGACTGAGAACCTAACCTCAACCTCTACAGAGCACGACTCCACTGCCACGTTCGCCAGATACTTACCCTCCGTGGACCCGGGGGGTTGCCGTTGTTGGGGTCAGGTCGCTGTGGGGAAGAAATAGGAGAAAGGGGTGAATCCAATCAGGTGTGGGGAGCCACAGAAGGCCTGTGTCAAAAAGGATACCCCAAGGCCTCTTAGCCCAGCCCTGTGTGTCATGGGAGGAGGCCCAGAGAGGGCACAGGACATGTCTGAGGCCACATGGCACCTGGGATACAGCCACGACAAGGATCTGGAGGTGTGGGCTCTGCCCTTGGACACCCTGGGGGACACTGGCTTGTCTCTTCCCCTTGACATACAGTGAGGGGGTTGGTCCAGATCCATGTTTTCCAAGATACGTTTGAAGAAACCCTGGCCCACCAACATGCTCTATGAGTAAAGGCTCCATGATGTAAGGGAAGGAACCTACGTGTCTATCTCAAGGGGAACTGGCACCCACACTGTCGCACTCTAAGCAGCCCTTGTAAGAGGGAGGTCAAGCCTCATTCCTGACACAACTACTAGTAAACCTCGAAGATATATTGTCGAGTGAACAAAGCTAGTTCTTCAGAAGATGATACATTTACATAAAATGCATACACACCCATCCTAAATACTTCCTGCGGACACATACTGTGTACGTGTGAGTGTATGTTCACGGCAAAGGTTCCAGAGGGTCCCCACCAAACTGACCACAGTGGGTGCCTCTGGGGAGAGGGATGAGACCTCTGGGGAGGGGTCTTCGGTCAGAAGCAACGTAGCTTTCATTGTAATTTGTGACTTTTCTTTTCAAGGGGAATGCATTTGTGTGTCACATACTTAGATAAACAGTCATTTAAAGAACCAGGTTTGGGCCCTGACCGGTTTGGCTCAGTGGATAGAGCGTCGTCCTGCGGACTGAAGGGTCCCAGGTTTGATTCCCTCCTGCACACTCCCTACTGGGGATGTGCCCGCAACCAAGAACCAAGGTACATGCCCTTGACCGGAATCGAACCCGGGACCCTTGATTCTGCAGGCTGACGCTCTATCCACTGAGCCAGACCGGCCAGGGCATTGAACAGTCATTTAAAGAACCAGGTTTGGGAAACACGGAGAAGTATACCCTTTTCTGGGAGAGCCCCAGGCCCGTTGCAAAGATTCATAAAGGCCCTGACTTCTCCAGGGAAGGAGTCTGTTCTGCTCAGAGTTTCACAAACTGACTTGACCTGGGAACCCTTTCAGTGAGGGGTTGAATGTAGAATCCCTTGAATCTGATGCTCAGAGAGGACAACCAAAAACTGGTGGGAGAAGACCCTCTCCTTCCCACTGGGGACAAGCTAGAGGGCCTCCGAGAACCACACAAAGGGCCCAGGGTCAGGCAGGTCGGAGAGAAGCAGACCCAGGAGTGACCAAGGGTTGAGGATGTCAGCTTAGGTTAGGATATCACCAGTATGAGAAGCTCATGTAACCTCAGCGTGTTTTAAAAGAGGTCGTGCCAGAGGGAGGGAGGCGACTCCTCTACTACTCTCCCATTTCTAGACATCATGCCGGGAGAAGGGCAAGCAGGGCAGAGAGAGGTCAGGAACCCATGGTATAAGCAGGAAGATTTGGAAGAAATTAGTGGGTTAGGATAAGAGCTTTACCTTCAACCTCTACAGGCTGTCATGGCAAAGAGAGTGGGTGTGTTTGGAGCTGACGGAGGGGTAGGTTTGGGAACAAGGAGTAGGGGCTGTGGGGTAATACACTGTGCTTCTAAGGGTGCCAGGTGAAGGCGTACACCTCTGCCTCTGAGCTTCCTTAGGCAGCCTCAGGTAAGGGGGTGGACTCAAGGACCCCGGAAGGAGAGAGAACCCAGCCTTGGGGGTAGAAAGGCCTGGCTCTACCTCTTTCCCGCTGTGTGACCCCAAGGAGTCATTGAACCACTGCAAGCCTTAGTCACCCTGGCTGTAAAGTGTCAGAACCCCTTCCTCACAGCTTTTGGTGAGGATTAATGATGTGGGAACACCTCACTCCGATGCCTGGAACATAGTAGGTGTTCAAAAATGGTCTGTTATATAACTGTTACTGCTGCTATTAATACTGTCATCTCATTACCAGTACTGTTATTGTTGCCACCACGATCACTACTGTTACTGCTCTCTGATATCACTCTCGCAACTACCATTGCTAGTGGTGCTATTACCATGACTACTTCTGCCACCACTGCCCACACTGTTACCACCACTGCTGCTGCTCCGATCGTTAGCACTCAGCTTCTGCCTCTGTTACTTTCGCTCCTACCACTGAGACTTTGGTCCAGATCCATGTTTAAATCCTGGTCCTACCTCTTACTCACCACGTGGCTTTTGGCAAATTATTTAATCTGTGGCTCATCTGTAAAACGGGTGTAATGGAAATGGTGACCGGCAATAAGATAATTGTGGGGATTAAAGGTGATAATAACTATAAAGCACTTAGGAGAGTGCTTGGTTCCTGGTAAGCTCTGGATAAAGGTAAGTTAGTACCTCTACCAGTGTTACACTTCTCTTCCTGCTGCTACGCTCCCACTGGTATTAGCAATGGGAGTGTAGCCGCTACTGTTATTACAGCTATGGCTAGGAACCTTGATAGTATCATCACTGTCATTACTTCAGCTGCTGGTGTTCCTTTCTGGTCACTCATGGTGCTCAGCTCCACTTCTGCTACTTCCTGGGCTTGAGGCCTGCTCCCCGGGACCTGGTCACTGGAGCCCAGGCTGCGTGGCAGGATAAGAAGTGACGTCTTTGGCTTTAGCCAGTTTGGCTCAGTGGATAGAGCATTGGCCTGCGGACTGAAGGGTCCTGGGTTCAATTCCAGTCAAGGGCATGTACCTTGGTTGCAGGCTCCTCCCTGGCCCAGGCCCTGGTCAGGGCTCGTACAGGAGGCAAAAAAATTGATGCGTTCTCTCACATCAATATTTCTCTGTCTTTCCCTCTCTTAAAAAAAAAAAAAATCAATGGAAAAAAAATCAGTGAAAAAATATCCTCAGGTGAGGATTAAAAAAAAAAAAAAGAAGTGGCGTTCCTGCCCTGGGTGCTCAGTGCAGACATCTGCTGGAGAGTTAGGAGGCTGCTGGTGACTGGTCAACCCCATTTCACCCCAAACACGCCTGCTCTCCCTTGGAAAACAGGGGGCTGTCATATCAGCACAGGGCAGCCTCCCCCACCCCCTTCCTCCCCCACTCACCCGCTTGCCCGTGGACGTGGGATCTGGCACATACAACGGGCTGTGTGGGTTGGCACTGGCCTCGCTTTTTGAGACCTTGTCTCTATCCCGGAGGAACTTGGACTTCACGCACCCCATCCTGCGGCAGAGAGAAGGGAGGTGAGCCCTGCTGGCCCTGAGCCCAGGCAGGGGAGTCTTTGATGCTGGGTTCCAGGCACTCTGCCCCCAGGCTGGCTTCTCCTCTCCTTCCCCGTCAGACCTCCCTTGTCAGCCCCGCTCCCCAACCCTTGCCACACGGAGCTCGCTCTGTCCTTGTCATCTCTGGGCTTCTTCAAGTCCACATCAACCACGCACAATACAGAGCTGACACATTTTTACAGTCATGCTACAAAGGACCCTTGTTATGGCGAGTATATTCAGAGACTAAATCAATGGATTAGAAAACTGTGGTACATCTACACAATGGAATACTATGCTGCTGTAAAAAAGGACTTCTTACCATTTGCAGCAGCATGGATGGAACTGGAGAGCATTATGCTAAATGAAATAAGCCAGTCAATGAAAGAAAAATACCACATGATCTCACTCATTTATGGATAATAAAGACCATTATAAACTGATGAACAAAAATAGATACAGAGGCAGAACAGCATCAAACAGACTGTCAAACTACAGCAGGAAGGCTGGGGAGGGTTGGAGGACGAGGGCCGGGTAGGAGATCAACCGAAGGACTTGTATGCATGCATATAAGCATAACCAATGGACACAAGACACTGGGGGGTAGGGGAGGCCAGGGGAATGTCAGGGGGGGAAAAAAAGGAGACATATGTAATACTCTTTGTAATACTTTAAGCAATAAAACAAATTTTAAAATAAATAAATAAGTCATTGAAATTCAGTAAGTAGAGCGTGGGAACAGAGCGGGTGGTAGGCACAGCCGGCTCAGGGCTCAGAAAGACTGAGCGGACCCTGAGCTGCTCAACACCACCCGCACCTCACTCCTCACTCCCTCTGCTCCCCAGTCTCAGTTCCTTATCAGCAAAGGGAGCTGATAATACAACCTACTGCAGGGGGTTGGAAGGATGAGAGAAAGCATGTGGGCGGACAGATACTCAGCACAGCATCACTCAGGCAAACAGTAAAGTAACACTATACTATTATTATCTAATAAATTACCATTTTCTATTAAGTGACAAAGATAAATCATATAATGTGTCTCAAACATTCCAGCTAAGTAATATTCAAGGCACCATGTTCCTCCTGTCATTTTATGATCGCTTTATAACACTTCTTCTCCCTCTCTCTCTCTCTCCTTTTGTCTCATTGATTTATTTGATCATTCATTCATTTACTCAGCAAATATTTCTTACATGTATTTCTTTATTGATTTCAGAGAGGAAGGGAGAATGAGAGAGAGAGAGACAGAAACATCAATTAGGGAGAATCATTGATCAGCTGCCTCCTGCACGCCCCCTACTGGGAATCAAGCCTGCAACCTGGGCATGTGCCCTTGGCCAAAATCGAACCCAGGACCCTTCAGTCTGCAGGCCAATGCTCTATCCACTGAGCCAAACTAGCTAGGGCACTCAGCAAATATTTATTGAGCACTTTTGTAAACCACGAATAAGACAAGCAAGTTCATGCCCTTATGGAGGTCATACTGGGGATGAATGGGAGACACAGGCAATAAACAGACAAATGAATAAAAAGATAGATTTAGTTATTGAAAAGCGTGAGGACAATAAAAGAGGATATGATAGGGAACTTCGCTGTGGGGCCTCTTTATTTTATTTATGTATGTATTTAAAATATACTTTTACTGATTTCAGAGAGGAAGGGAGAGGGGTAGAGAGATAGAAACATCAATGATGAGAGAGAATCATTGATCAGCTGCCTCCTGCATGCCCCATGCTTTCCCCAAGTTGGGGATTGAGGCCACAACTTAGGCATGTGTCCTAACCAGGAATCGAACCGTGACCTCCTGGTTCATAGGTTAACACTCAACCACTGAGCCACACCAGCCAGGCTTTATTATTTTTTTAAGATTTTTAAATAGATTTTTTTTTTTATTTTTATTTTTTTTTTTTAAATTTTTTTTTAATATATTTTATTGATTTTTTACAGAGAGGAAGGGAGAGAGATAGAGAGTTAGAAACATCGATGAGAGAGAAACATCGACCAGCTGCCTCCTGCACATCTCCCACTGGGGATGTGCTCGCAACCCAGTTACATGCCCTTGACCGGAATCGAACCTGGGACCTTTCAATCCGCAGGCCGACGCTCTATCCACTGAGCCAAACCGGTTTTGGCTTAAATAGATTTTTAGAGAGAGGAAGGGAAAGGGAAGGAGGGAGAGAGAAAAAGAGAAAAATTGACCTGAGAGTAGAACATCAATTAGTTGCCTCCTGCACGAACCCTACGGGGGATAGAGCCTGCAACCTGGGCATGTGCCCTGGCCAGGAATCGAACCAGCAACATTTCAGTGCATGAGACACTGCCCAACCAACGGAGCCACACGGGGCTTTATGGGGCCTCTTTAGATAGGGTGGTTGGGGAAGGCCTTTCAGAGGAGGTGATATTGGACCTGGGGCCTGAACGACACAAAGGAGCCTGTCAAGAAACACTGTGAGGAAACAGTGTTCCAGGCAGCGGGAGCAGCAAGTGCAAAGGTCCTGAGGTTGGAATGTGCTTGGAGAGAATGAGGCACTTGAAAGGCAGCCGGTGTGGCTGGAGATCACAGGTAGGAGAAAGGATGGTATGCGATGAGGTTGCCACATCCTGAACAGCCAGTGAGGAATTTGGATTAGACTCTAAGGGTGATGGGAAACCATGGGAAGGTTTAGGTAGGACAGTGATAGGATTCAATTTAAATGATGCCACTGGCTTCTGGGTTGAGGATGGACTGTAGGATCAGGGCAGGGAACACTGTCCACTGCAATTGTCCAGGCCTAAGAGCGTGGTGGCCCGGCCCACGGTGGTGGCTACTGAGGGGATAAACAGCAGGCAGATTCAGGGCCATTTTGGAGGGAGAGCTGACAGACTGTGCTGATGGATTAATTAATTAATTTAAAGACACTTAAAGAAAACACATTCACCTGGTCAGAGTCAAGTCTCGTTGCAAAAGTGGCAGAAATATTTCATTTCTTTTCTCAAAATGCACACAGGTATTTGCTGAGGAGACAGGCTGTGAGCAGCCACATAAGGAAGTCATTGTTTTCCTCATCTGTGCACAATTGAAATTTTCTCCTAAAACAGAACTCAGTTATACTTGTTAAAATAAACATGTGTTAGTGGTTTAAGGGAGGGGGGGCGGGGTCCAAATTCTTAGGCTTAGGGGAGTTATTTGAAAAGAATTCTTTTTATTCACAAGGATGCTGTTTTGTCTGTCCTGGTGGGAATTGGGAACAATTTACCACCTCAGGACTAAGGGGTTTGTGTTTCAGTTGCCTTTTGTGAATAAAGTAAAGAATTCAGACTCACTGCTCTCCACTGTGCTTGTATTCATTTAAAACAGAAACCAACACCTCTTTGACTTGTGGTAAGCATCACAGTTCTGGGAGGTAAAACAGCATATTGTGTGGTTTTATATGGCATCGCATTATATTGCATTTTATATATTTTGATTAATGAGGGTGTCCTGGGAAGAGCGCGGCTGTGTGATGTAGGGCGGCTCCTTCCACCTCTCTGAGCGCCTATTAAGCATCATTTACATCACAATTTACATAAAGAGGGCCACGGGTCCGAGGGATGGGTCTCTGAAGGCCCCCCGGCTCATGCATGATCCAAGGCCATCTCTGAGAAAGGATGGTGGGGTTTCACCTCAGAGGATGCTGGTGAGCACCGAGTGAGTTGTAAGTGTAAAGGTGTCTGGCACACAGTAGGTGCTCAGAAACCTTAACCATAACCATCTCTGTTAACTCGCATAATGGCCCTGCCCTGGAGCAAAAGCAAGCACAGATTGCAATTCCTTTGGCCCATAAGCTTAGAGATACCGCAACAGTTAAGAATTGAACTTTTTAAAATAAAGAATTCCCATTAATTCAATTTTTGCACATTAAAGTGTGATTTAAAAAAAGTGATATACCAGCAGGAGTCCAGTTTGCATAAAATGTGATTGTCCCCTTAAACCAAGAGAACCAGTCCACTGCGCAGGGTGGAGTGGCCTCAGAAATGCTCATTTTCATGACTGCTGGACCTAGAAATGTAATGTGAGCCATGTATATAATTTAAAATTTTCTCCAGCCATATTTTTCAAAGTAAAAATAAACAAGAGGATTAATTTTTAGACATATTTATTTTTCCCAAAATGTCAAAATTCATATTAACAGCTAACCAATATAAAAATGATCAGTTGGGTACTTTATTTTATTTTTTTTCATGTTAAGTCTTCCCATCCCACTGTGTATTTTACATGTACAGCACAACTCAGTGAGGACTCGCCATGTTTCAGGAGTTCAAACGCTGTCTGTAGCTAAAGCTACTGTACTCAGCGGTACAAATACAGTACGTACCCATCCTTGCACACAGCAGATGCCGATCTTGCTCATGTCTGTGTCCCTCAGTGCTTAGCTCAGTGCCTCCCTAGCACATGGTAGGAGCATAATGCACAGCTAGTGAATAAACGCATGCCCAGAGCCTGTGCTCTATGTAGTCAGTCCAACACAGATGTCAAGACGTGGGTCCTGATCTAGGGACGGAGTTGAGAAGGGAAGACTGGACAAAGAGAATTACATTCCAAAGCCACGTGCAAAGAAGCTGGTAGGGATTGGCACAGTCAGAGCCATACAAAAATTGCTAAGATACTTAGTGAGCGAAAAAAGCAACCTGCAAAACATATTATCAAGTCATTTTTGTCAAATGTATTTATATCCCTGTACTCTGTATGTTAACATATATAGAAAAAACAACCTGTTTATAATAATTGAGCAGCGGGATAATGGCTAATTGGGTTTTGAAGACTGTGGAGCAGGGGTCCTCAAACTTTTTAAACAGGGGGCCAGTTCACTGTCCCTCAGACCGTTGGAGGGCCGGACTATAGTAGTTTTAAAAAAAAACTATGAACAAATTCCTATGCACACTGCACATATCTTATTTTGAAGTAAAAAAACAAAACGGGAACAAATACAGTATTTGTATTT